GGGCACGGGGGCGGTGGGGTGGCACATCCACGCGGATCCGGGCTGGGTGGCTTCGCCACGGGGTCGCTCCGTGGGGCTGTTGCTTTTACTTTCCCTTCAGCCTCGGGCGGATCTCGCCCGGGTTTCCTCCCCGCGGGGAAGCGTTGGCCTCCCAACATCCGGATGGGGCATTTTGAGTCCCCTGAGCAGAGCAGCATCCCAACAGTCTGGGGATGGGGTGAAGGAGGGATGGGGAGGTCGATCCTTCCCCCATTATTATTGTTGCTTGCAGTCATCATTGCTATTAATATTATTACAGCATCCTCTTTTTTAAAAGGATGGGATGAGTCACGCAGCTCAGGGAGGGGGATGTGGGCACTGGGCAGGGGACCAGCAGGTGTCCTCTGTTCTGGGGTGAGAGGCATGGGGCTGGCAGTAACCAGCTTTTCTCCTGGCTGCTCAGCAGGGCCAGCGTGAGGGAAGGATGGCTGCGGACGGGCTCTCCAGCAAGGCCTTGAAGGTGAGCACCAGTGGGAATAGGGTGTTGGGAGGGCTGGTTCGAGGGGTCTCAAGCAATTGCCCCTCTCCCTGGCAGGTGAAGCGGGAGCTGGGGGAGAACACGCCACTGCTGTCAGATGAGGAGCTGATGGGGCTGTCAGTGCGGGAGCTCAACCACCACCTGCGGGGCCTCTCCAAGGAGGAGGTGGCGAGGCTGAAGCAGCGTCGCCGGACGCTGAAGAACAGGGGCTACGCTGCCAGCTGCCGGGTGAAGCGCGTCTGCCAGAAGGAAGAGCTGCAGAAGCAGAAGATGGAGCTGGAGTGGGAGGTGGACAAGCTGGCCCGGGAGAATGCCGCCATGCGCCTGGAGCTTGATACTCTCCGTGGCAAGTACGAGGCCCTGCAGGGCTTCGCCCGCACCGTGGCCACCCATGGGCCTCCTGCCAAGGCGGCCACCGCCAGTGTCATCACCATCGTCAAGTCGGGCACCAACCAGGCCGCCTACTCCTAGTGCTGGCCTCCGTCCCCCGGCTGGGCACAGTCCTCCTCGGGGCTCCTTCCCCCACGAATTACCTCCCAGTCCTTCCCCGACCTCCTCCCTGCCGGGATATGTGCCCCAAATCCTCCTTCTCCCGTCCCTTGACCTCCAGCTCCCCCATGTAGGGAAGGTTGCTGCAGTGTGGGTGCTGAGGTAGAGGACAGAACCCCACCAGTGGCCCCCACAGTCTCCTCCCCTCTTGTGGGTGTAGATAGGAGAGAGTGAACCCACTCAGGCAGCAGTGGGGAAGCATCCCACAGCTCCAAGCTGGCAGGAAAACACCAGATGCCTGTTTTGGGGGATGGCATGGGAGAGCTAAATGTGGGCCAGGCACGCCCAGGAGCACATGCCAGAGAGGAAAAAGAGGGGAGAGAGTTTTTGCAGCACAGGGGAAGAAGTCATAAGAGAGGGGTATCGGTGTTGGGCACACAACTTGGACCATGGCTGGAGCAGGGGGCAAAGTGGCAGCATGGCATGATTCTCCAGGGATGGAGATGGTGAAGGAAGGTGGCAGGTCAGAGGGGAAGAGAAAGTGGCTGCAGGTTGATGCCTGGTAAGGGTGAATGAAATGGGAAAGCACTGTGGCAGCTTGTGGTGCTGGGGGACCCTGGAGGTGACAGTGATGGAGAGTCCCTTGGGCAGGGGAGAGCTGGGGGACGTGGGTGGGTCAGCCCAGGCTGTTGTTCCACAAAGGGGAGAAGCAGTGGTGCTGTTTTATCATTCTCTATCACGCACATCCTTCACGCCTCTTCCTGC